TGTATATATGTGTATATGTATATGTATGTATATGTATATATATATATATATATATATATGTGTGTGTGTGTGTGTGTGTGTGTTTGTGTGTATATATGTATATATGTGTATATATGTATATACTGTTTTCCTACTACAAAATGGCATACTGAGCAAATACTTTAGATTTTTCCACAGTTAGTGAACATCTGTCATTAGTGAGTTTTTTTTTTAATACAGTGAATATCCTGTGATGTGCCCTTCCTGCCACATCCACCTTAGTAACAAACTTTAAATAGTAAAGCTACTTCAATGTGTTGTTATTTATTCAGTGCTCTCACATCACCATTTTTTGCACTTCTATGAATATGATTTTTTTTCTTTACCTTTTGGGGGCACTGTTTATACAGAGATAAGGAGCTCAGAACATACATTACTGGAGTTCCCTCTGCACTATTCTTCAAACACGTTCCAGACACCGTCTTACCATTTCCTTCACTTGTCCTTCAGTTTTTTTTTATAATTCCTTCTTCTATTATCTTTCTGTTTGCCTTTACCAGACTCTGACTTCTTTTAATGCCTTTAATGCTCTTCTACTTATATCTGTCCCTCTGTCTAATCACCACTTTACCTCTCCAGTTTTTATCATGAACTTCATTCTTTATCTTACCCCTCCTGTCCTGCAGGGCAATGCAGCTAAGCTGGTGCACACGCCTCTGACTGATAAGTGCTACCTGACTCTGACCCAGGCCATGAAGATGGGGCTTGGTGGAAACCCCTATGGGCCTGCTGGGACAGGCAAGACTGAGTCAGTCAAAGCTTTAGGGGGGTTGTTTGGTCGCCAGGTTTTGGTGTTCAATTGTGATGAGGTAAAGAGAAATTTCTCATGAAAGCAATATGGATTCAACTTTTTAACAAACGTTTACCCTTTTTCACAATTTGCAGTTTTGAAAGCAAAACATATGGTTTACAGGTCCAGTCTAATATATATATAAAAAAACAACCATTACTGTATATGCAGTAAGTAGTAAGAAGAAAAAAGTAACATTTATATAAATTAGTAAATTTAGTTGAATTATAAACAATAACATTTTACTCAAAACTGAGAGAAAAGCAAGATCTTTGAACAGTTTTTCTTTTTGTTTGTTTTATGTTCCTAGGGCATCGATGTGAAGTCAATGGGACGAATATTTGTTGGTTTGGTGAAGTGTGGCGCGTGGGGCTGCTTCGACGAGTTTAACCGTTTAGAGGAAGCGGTGCTATCAGCAGTTTCCATGCAGATTCAGGCCATTCAAGACTCTATCAGACATCACAAAAACACTTGTGAACTGCTGGGAAAAGAGGTCAGAAAACGTGTCAATGCCAACAACAACAAAAACATATACATTGTTTTCCAGTATGGATCCAAACAAACAACTACTCAGATTTGTTGTATTTTTAACAAGTATTTTTCTGGTTTACGGTGATGTTTTGGCCAGCCTGTCGCTGTGTTGTTGTGACACAGGATATTTTTTCATCCTCAGTTTTGTCAAATAATCTGATTTGTAATTGGTTCAAACATTTTTTTTCAAGATTATAGGAGCTTTTATCAACAATTACAACTATATTTATTTATACAAATAAAGAAAACATTTTATCAGTGTGAACAGTTTTTTTCCTCTTTCCCTGATCCTTCAGGTGCAACTGGACCCAAACTCTGGGGTGTTCATCACTTTGAACCCAGCAGGAAAAGGCTATGGAGGCAGGCAGAAACTCCCAGACAACCTAAAGCAGCTGTTCAGGCCTGTGGCTATGAGCCGGCCCGACAACGAGCTCATCGCAGAAGTCATCCTCTACTCAGAAGGCTTCAAAAATGGAGAAATATTGGGACGCAAACTGGTTGCAATATTTAACTTAGCTAGGTAGGCATGGTGTGTACAGTATTGATGGAAAACCTTTCAAATTACTGCCAAAGTAACAATAAATTTGTTTCATTTTCATGTAATCTGTCTGATATATATATATATATATATATATATATATATTTTGTATATATATTTTGTTATATATTTTGTTTTGTTACCTTTTCCTTTTAGCCATCCTATTTGTTAAAAAAAACAAAAAAACAAAAACAAAACTGTAGTATGCTTTTTTATAACTGTTTATTGTTGTTGCTGTTGTCCATTGTTGTCATCTTTCTTTGTTGAAATCAGGTCTCTCTTGTAAATGAGTCCTCGAGGCTCAATGGGATTTACCTGTATAAATAAAGGTTGATTGAT